CATTTGATGAAAAAACAATTCGTTCAATATATCATATAAGAAGTTTAGATGTATTTCGAATAAAACAATTACAACAAGGTAAAATTGATATAACGATATCACATGATTGGCCACGTGGTATTGTTTGGTATGGTGATGTACAACGTTTATTACAACGTAAACAATATTTTCATGATGATATATATACAAATCAACTTGGTAGTGAACCATTAGAAGAAGTTTTACTTCGAATACAACCAAAATATTGGTTTTCAGCACATTTACATGTTAAATTTTCTGCTTTAGTTGAACATACAAATGGACAATTAACACGTTTTCTTGCTTTAGATAAATGTTTACCAGGACGAGATTTTTTACAAGTAAGTTAAAAACAAAACCAACAGAAGTTCCTTTCAAGTCGAAATATTTCAGTAGTTTAGGTCATTATCAGAACAGCTTGATTCTCAGTGGAAAAGATGCTCTGTTCAGTCAGATAAGGACTTGAAAGTAGGAATCTTGTAACCAGGTTTCCAGGTCGCGAACGACTCGTATTTACTTTAACTGGATGTGTAAGATACATTTTTCGGAAAACGCACACTTGCTTGCAGAAAGAAAATAAATATTATTGATGATATTATAGAAGATTAAACAGGACAATACAGCGGAGGTGAAATATTGTGGGTTGAAGATGAGAATCTTTTCTTCGTAAACTTAAGTGTGGAAAGACTCGCGAGTTCCCTACTCTTCAGTCACAATCATATTTGTTTCTATTAAAATTAGAGATGTGCAGTTTCAGTTTACTGACCATCGACTCAGTGTAGTTACTACAGACCACATGCTGAGGCATTGGAATACATCGCTATAAAGAAAAGGTATATTTTGATAGAGTTGATGTCTCAATGCTGCAGCAAATACAGATTTATTAAAATATTGTGTGGATGTATTTGATTTTATTCTAAATGTTTTAATCAATTCAAACTTTAATTTTTGTAAATCTGAAAAATTTTACAACAGCTATTAGAATGCATAATATATCTATTGATTTTATTGTTAGCTATCATAGGTGGCAGAACTCTTAGACTTAAGGAGACTGAACTCAATTGATGTATTGTTTTTTGAAAGATAGTCTCGGATATTATAACAAAAGATTGAATAATCTGCCTTTTTGGTCATGCGCACTCAAATAAGAAATTCTGTTACGAAACCTAAAAAGATTCTTCTTTGCTACTTCCTTCTTAATCTACTACTGTTCCAGATTGTTCCTAGAAAAAAGTTAAAGAATTGTAAAAGTGAACCGCTATCTCCTTTCTTGTCATTTTTAAAATATGAACTTCATTATTTCTATAAAAGATTCTTGATATTGAACCAACGAATCCATCATCATCGCCACCAACTAATCGTTTATCACTTGATCCTGAATGGTTATGTATATTAGCAAAAACCGATCATCTATTACATGTTCAACGTACAAATACATTTTTACCATCAATATTACAAAATTCATTTACTCCAAATGAAGATGATTATCGAAAAGTACAAGATGATTTTTCAAATACATTTGAAATACCTGAAATATTTGAACTAACTGGTCCTATTCATACATTAGGTAGTGGAAATATTCCAATTGATATCGAACAATTAAGAAAAAATAATCCACAAACAGAATTATTATGTCATATGCTTGGTATACGAAATCCAATTGATGTTATACTTAATCGAAAAATTCAACCAATACAATTTGATCAAACATCTTCTAGTGATCAAACAAATTAAAAAGAAAATAAATCAATTATTTGTATATATACATAGATATATATTATTTTTTTTTACATAAGAAAACTTCATTTTCATTCAGATAAATTCGAGATTTTTGTTATACTTGACTGAATTCATAGTCATAATTTTATGTTGAAAAAGTAAATCATTCTGTTAGGAATTTATGATGATGAAAAAAAAATATTCATAGGAGAATTCATTTTTTTCCTAATCTGGAAAAACTGATAAATGAATTTGCTTTTTTCTTTTTCAGATCGATTTTTTTTTGATTTTCTGACGATCAATAAAACTTGGTTATACACTTGTTATCCGTCAATATTTTCAGACTTGATTTTATTAAAGCATGTAATCAAAAAACTTTGACAACTGGAAATTTATTTATTTATTTATTTTCTTGCAAAATTTTGCCTTATATCACTTACGAGGAAATATAACCGATTGTCGGTCGGACGCCATTCGACTTCATATTAAGACTATGGATATTAAAGTCAACTAAGTATCTCACTAATAAATCAGATTTTAAATTAATTATAAATTTTATTCTTTGATATTCATTATTACGCCTTCAGCATTCGATTGGTGCCTCTTCAAGACCTATGTCTATGGGGAAAAAGTCAGAGTCAACTTTAACTCCGACTTTCCTCATCTTTATAAAGACCTGAAGAGACATGAATCGAGCTTTCAAAATACGCCAGCTTGTACAATAAGACTCATCATTGAAATAACCTGCAGTGTTCAATCTAATTATCGGTAGACAATTGAGAGAGTTCCGACTGCTCCTAAAAATGACTTCGATGCAGGAGGAGTGTTGAAGAGGGAAGGGTCTTAATTTATTACGCCTATACTTCAACACTCCTTTTAGATCGTGTTTTACAAAAAGCAACGATTCACTAGAAGAGGACATAGTAAATCAATTCTGCTCGAAAATTGAATATCTCATGTTCATTTTCGTTGAAGCTCTCAGATTTTTGGAATGTCATTCTCTTAGGAAAAATTTCATTAAAATCGACATAAATTTTCATCAGTAGATCATGAACTCGAATGGTATTCGACAGTTGGATATGTTTTCTCGTTAAATTCTTTTTTCTAATTACTATACAAACTGTTTTTACACATACTCGTATATATCAAGAATTCCTTAAAACAAGAAACAAAATATTATTGATTGATCAGTGAAGCTGAACAACATAATCAATTTTGGTCAAGTGTTCCAAAAACCTGAAAAATCTATCGATGAACATATATTTCTGCATGGCATATTGTTTAATCTTGTAATGCATGAAGAACTTATATCAATAAATATAAATTTAAAAGTATGAATAATAAGATATCTTATGCATGTTCGTAGCCTATTATATGGCATAAGTTTCTAGTGTTAATAATTTTATTTGAGATATTGGGTGTACTGAATATCTGTATAAAATTTAGTAAAGCAATATTTCAACTGATTTCGAACTTTCAATTTTATCTTTTGACTATAAGTAGATCTTAGTGAGACTAAGAAAATTGATTATAGCTCTTCGTTGCTGAGATATGGTTAATGTACAGATGATAAACAACTAGGTACTTAGAGATTTATTCTGAAAACTTTCAATATTGTCAAAGTTTACTTCCCTTTTGACTTGTTTGTATGCAATGAAGAGAGATGTTGAACTCCTGAGTTGATTTGATAAAGTAGACTAATTCAAAGATTTTAATAAATTTATTTGTTTGATACAAATTTAATCCTAAGTTAATAGAATAATATATACATGACAATTTGAAAGAAAATTACGTCAATTTTTCATTATAACGTTAACTATTTTTCTAGAACAAAGAGTTATAATTATGAATGTTTTTCGAATTTTCTTAGTCTCATAGTGATTGACAATACAGCTAAAATTTTCTATGCTTCATAGTAAAAATATTTGCTTATTCTTCTGAATCATTCATAGAGAAAATGATTCAACATAATTTTTACTAGACGAGACTCTAATGATTACATTTGCATATACAATTCATAAGGTTAAATATTCACGCTTGAATCAGAAATTACATTATATTAAAAGACAATCAAGAGTGTAATTATTCAGCTGCTATCGAATGTAAAGCTTCATGCAACTCGATACTCATTCCATCACATTACATTTGTGACTAATCGTTTAGAAAAAATGATTCAATCACTATTAAACGACTTGAGTATTTGAATAAGAATGAAAGAGAAAAGAGAAGTGATTCGTTTTTTTTCATTACATGTTTATCAAGTTGATTGGAAACTTTCGAAATGTTTGCTAAGACAAATACAATAGTAATTTGATGTTTCATACATATGATTCACTTCAGGCAAAACAGAATACAACGACCTTCCATGCAATTTTGATTCTTTACACGAGTTATTTTTCTGAATAAGTTCTTTTAACACGGACATATGTAAAAATATTGATACTGTCAACTAGAGCGCGTGTCAGGTCCAAAAATTTTTGAATCCGGATCTGGTCGAACTGTATTTTGATATTCTCAATGAAATTTTCTAATCGGATTTGAATAGTCGCCCTGATGATATGAGATACTTTTTTTTTCAAACTTAAACACGATCGGGTCTGGGTTCGGAACCAGCCCGATGGTCTCTACTTTCAGTTAATTATTAATTAAAAATTAGTGAATATCTTCGAGAATAATATCCGAAACCGTTACAGCACGAACAATATCTTTGATGAAATTTTTAGCAAGGTTGAACTTCAAAAAACCTTCTTTAAAAAAAACCAGATTTTCTAGAGATCATATCAAGTGCAGAAACAAATATTTTTGTCTTAGCATTATTTAAATATTTTGAAGGAGGATTTGTACTGTTTAGTATTAGCTTTGAACGTCGTATTCGGTTATAAGAGCATTTTTTCGTTTGTATATGTATATTCGTACGCCGTCATGTTGCTAACAAAAAGTAAATCGATTTTTTGTTTTTGAAAAAACCTAGACATGCTAAAAAAAATTTGTCCATAATATATATTACCATTTTCCTTGGACTAATCGCAATAAGAGAGCACTATTTTTTTTTAGATATTGGTTGTATGTGTATTTGAGAAAATATGTTGGTTCAAAGAAGTATATATCAGAAATTATGAGATTTTACTTAAGCAATGTAAATAATGACATATCAGTTTTTTCAACCAGAAAAATCACGGGTTTTTTTTAATGCAAAATAACAGACTTAGTCGATTTGATGTTTTTTTTTGCATGATAAAACCTGCTGTTTCATATATAATAATGAGAAATTTGACTTGAGTTACTTTTGGTTCTGCTAGATGCACTCTTTCGTTCTATAACAAAACTACCTAAAAATCCGTTTCATACTTTTTGAAAAAGGTATATATTATCTAATACATTTTTGTTTCTTTTGTTTTTTTTTTGATTGACATATGCAATATATAACGTATCTTTAGTAGCCGCCTCGTCTTTTTTTTGTTTTCGTATTGCTTTGCTGATTTATCATCATATGTAATAACGATACTAATAGTAATTTTTTCTTTTGGATAAATTTTTTAGATTCATTATCAACACAAATATCTTGTGACTAGATGAATAGTCACATTGATTCAACTTCACCTTAGTTGGGTTTTTTTCTTTTCTTCTATGACGTGTAATTTGTTTTTTTCGTTATGTCCTTGAATAAACAGGGAAAAAAAAAGATAAAAACCTATAAAATATATAATCAAAAAAACGAGAATAAACTTTCAGTCATGTCTACTGGAAAACTTAGTGTAACGTCGATCGAACAGCTCAAATATGATCAAGATTTTCCATCAATTGATAATATATCTCGACAAACAGTAACATCATTATTAGCATGTGAACCATCAGTTGTTCAAAGTCCACAAGAAGCAGCTGAAACACTTTTTTCTAAACCATTACATCATTTACGACCACGAGTAAATTATGAAATTCTTCAACATGAAATAACACAAGAAGAATTAGATGCTGCTGCTGAATATGGACGATTTATTGAACGTCCAAGTGATTTATTTCTTAAATTATTTCATAATGTTCTTTGTACATTAAGACGTGATCCATTAGCTGGTCGTGTTTCACCATCATTAATTGGTACAACTGGTGTTATACCATTAACAATTATTTCAACAATACCTGATATAATGCGACATTATTATCATTGTATTATTCATGCACAAAAAGAAGTTTTATTAGCAACAAATTATTGGGAAAAAGGTGAAAGTGTAAACATTATTGGTAAAGCATTAAAAGATTTAAGTAAACGTGCCGGATGTGAAAATCGTTATGTTATTGTTAAATTAATGATTGATCATCCAACAAAAGAAAATTTAAAACATTTTCATTATATTCTTCCACCAAATAAATGGTCAGATTATGATATTCCATTACCTGAAGAAATTCCAAATATATCACTTGAAATAAATAATTATCATCAAATGATTATGGGTACATTTCATGCTAAATTTATGATTATTGATCGTCGAATTGCTTTATTAAATAGTAATAATATACAAGATCGACCTAATCTTGAAATGATGTCACATTTTGAAGGTAATATTGTAAATTCACTTTATGATACATTTCTTATATCATGGTGGTTACCATTTACACCAAATCTTGTTTGTTTAAAAGATGAAACATCTAGTGATAGTCATTTTAAATTTGGAATTCATAATTCAAAAATTTCATCTATTAAAGAACCATTACAACAGGCTATTGCAAGAGCACGTTTACGACTTAAATCTCATTTAGAAAGACAAGAATCGGATATTTATCTTGATGAATCTTTACCATCTGAAGAAGATGAAAATTCTATATTATCATCTGGTGATAGAAAAACGAAAAATAATGGATTTTCAACAGCTGCTTTACAAGCACTTGTTAATCATCGAAGGTCTCATTCACCTGTTGTTCTTTTTAAAGCAACAAATGATCTAACTGGTGCTGTCATTGGATATAATATGAGTCCTCGTTCAGATGTACCACTTACACATCATTTCAATAAATCAGCA